ATCTCTAAAAAAAGAGACATAAGATACAAATTCTACTTAGGAAAACAAATACTAAAGGATGGAACAAAGAACATACTGAAATTGTTAAATCATTAAAAGAAGAATGTAAAAATTTACCAAAATTAAGATTACCAGATGAAAAAGATAATCTAATTGTCAATACTGATGTCTCGGATAAATATTGGGCAGCTATATTAAAAACAGATTTAAATGAAATATGTAGATATTCAAGTGGAAATTTTAACCAAGCAGAAATAAATTATACTACTCATGAAAAAGAATTATTAGCAATTATTAGAGGAATAAAAAAGTTTTCATTATTCTTTTTATCTAAAAAATTTGTTGTTGAAACTGATAATTCTCAAGTTGCAGGACTTATTAGAAATAAGTTACCTATGGAACCTCAATATAGAAGGTTACACAGATGGCAAGCATATTTATCATTCTACAATTTTGATATTGTTCATATTAAAGGAATAAATAATTATCTTGCAGATTTTTTGAGCAGGAATATCGAATTCGGAGATGGATAATATCAAAAATTCATTAATAGACGTCAACAGATGAATGAAATTCCTCGTGGAAGAATCTGAAGATATGAAAATTGGAATTGAGCAGTTAAAGGAAATGGCGGAATCTATTCAACAAAATGTCAAATTATTGGTGGAAATCTCTAATTCTCATTCCAAATATACCAAAGAATTGAATGACAGAATTGTTGATATTACTTCACAATTCGAGTCATTAGATACCAAACAGGAAATACCAATTGATACAATCTCAAAAATACAAACAAGTACACAGTTAGGAAGCAGCAGTGGACCCAACAATATCAAACGAGACATAGCAAGTCCCCGGAAGGTGACTATAAAAAATGGTGATGAACATACAAGAGTTATAAGAATCAAAACTGATGAAAATGATGATACCCCTTTATCATCAAAATAAGAAGAATATAGATCATTTGCCAAAATTGTTTATGAATTAGAAGAAAATGAATCATATTTTATTGCATCGGGAGATCATGTTTATCCCATATTAATAATTACCAAAGATGCAGACCCTTTCATGGTCAAAATGGCAGCAGATTATGGATTTCTGGATTTGATCTATCCAGGAAAAGATTTAAAAGAAATTGAAAAATTTGATGATATATTCAGGACAGAAGTTTCAAAATTTGCCCAAGGGAGGTCGATTTATATCAAATTTTATTCAATAAGTCCCGAGGTTGATGGAAGGATATATTATCCTGCTGAACATATTATTACAATTGGATATGTTGGCCGAGATTTCCAGATTGAAGTTGGCCGAAATAATAAATCATTGCCTAAAATCAATTAATCATGGATAAAATCTCAAAGAGTTTTGGGGATGAAAGTTCTTTACAACATTGCAAAGAACTTATATGATAAAAAATTCAGATGCTTGTGCCAATATGAAGGATGGACACTCCTTACGAATAATGGAAAAGAAAAATCTACCATTTTGAAAGAATATATCCAAAAATTTGATACTCATCAAATTAATGGAAGTCCTACAACAATCCAAGAATCATGTAGATTGAGGGAGTGCCCCACATGCAGACAAGATTAAAAGATTGATTTTTCAAGATAAAAGATGAATGGAGATAGATAAAAGGGGACCTACCACTACCAAAGCATCTAGCCAGCTGCATATGGAGTTAAAGATGGAAAGGCAATAATAGAGAAAAAGATACCCCTTTGATGGAAAGGCAAAGAATGCATGTGAAAATGTAGACCCCAGGAGGAAAAGAATAGAGAGACATGTGAGCCTTTTTTCAAAATTCTGATGTATGTAATGATGTAATAGATCAATAATAGTGAATTTGAGTCATGTATAAATAGAGGTCTTTGGGGAAAGAATGGATCATCTCGAGTTAGAAACCATTCTCTTTCCTTAAGCTTTTTTTAAAATCAGTTTTTCTGGAAACCCCTTGTATACAATAGAAATCTTGTATAAATCATTATAGAAATAAAATTTCAATCTTTTGATATAAAAAAGATATGAGTTTCTAAACTTCCTATCCCATAGATTCTTGATAGATTGAAGAAGATAATTTCTTTCTTACTTTCACAAAGAGAGAATTTTCTTTACTTAAGATCTTTATTCTTAATTCTAAGAAAAGATACAGTGAGGGCAAGAAGCTGAAATAGCAGAATTTCCATTGAGGCAAGAGGCCGTTTGAGCGAGCAGTTTGCAGATTCAGAGCCTGAAGGTCACTCGATTCTAAGAATACAGATTTAAGATCAAAAGTAAGGTAAAATTATTGTCTTTGTTAAATTTAGAAAGAATTCTTCTAATATCTTGAAAGAATCGTAGGGATTATTACTTTTCATGTTTGCAAAAAACTTATCTAACATGTTATTATTATTCATAAAGCTTGCAAGGAATTATCTGAATAATGCCAGGTTATACAATTAAAGGATTAGATAATCTGTTAGAAAAACTATTACGAAAAATAAGAAATATTTTTGCTCAACTAAAGACTATGGATATTTCATCTAAAGAATATGATAATCTTAGTGAATTACATGACAATTATATTACAGAATATGCTAATTTATTAGATCAAATGATGGAACTATATATTAAAACTCGAAACGAAAGAAATAGAGGAATTTTAGAACTATCCCAATAAATTAAGGATATCTTGTGCAAAATATGACAAATCCTTTCATTAAGGGTATTATAGACATTTTATCAAAAATGAATAGTGGCCGGTTATTTATAAAAATCTCCCATTGGAGGACGAGGGGGAGGAATATTTGTTCAAAATTGTGATTACCGGAGAGTTGGAAAATCAATTTTACTCTCTCGTTACGCCAGAAATGAGTTTAATATGCATTCAAAGGCCACCATTGGAGTTGACTTTCAGACGCAGTCGCTTGAATTTGATGGGAAAGAAGTTAAGGCACAGATTTGGGACGAGGAAATACACGAAAATGGCTCTTCCACTGTAGCAAAATTTGACATTGGCCTTTGACCCATTAAATGAATTAAAAAAAACAAATTAAGTTAAAAAAAAAAACTTCACAGTAAAAGGTCATTTTATCCTTCAGACTGTTTGAAAATCTCTGACCGACCGCCGACCGATCGACCGACCGACCTACTCTAGAAATTCGACCGACCGACCACCGGAGTTACACCAACGTCGCAGTCAACGACCATCATCTACATCGGAAATAAAATAACCGGTTAGTTTTTATCACTTTTCTCCAGTTAATGCTGTTCATGTGCAAGTTTATAGCATTTTCCTTAGTAATTTCGGTTAATTAGATCCATGGGCATGAGTAGTTAGATTGTGGGCATGCTAGGAGTGTGAAAAATGTGGATTTTTAGCTTTTTTTGGAGCTCAGTGGCCGGGAATGGCGATTTCCGACCGATTCCCGACCCCCGGCCAACAGTCACCGACTGTTGACAGTCTGGGTTTGTTGTCTAGGCCGACTGTTAATGGCCCAGACTAAATATTTAATTTTAAATTTTTTTATAATTTTTATAATTAATTAAATTTTTTATTTGATTAAATAGTAATTATGTTATTTATTTATTTAATTTTTATCATTGTCAATATAATATAATAATTAAAATATTGTAAAATTAACAATGTTGATTATTTTTTTTATGAAATTATCTTTAATTTATATTTTCAAATTTATTTAAATAATATGAATAGTCTTCACATTTTAAAAAAAGGTAAAGTAATTATTTATTTAATTTTTATATTTGTCTTTTATATAATTTAATAATTGAAATATTGTAAAATTAACAATGTTGATTCTATTTTTTTTATGAAATTATCTTTAATTTATTTTTTCAAATTTATTTAAATAATATGAATAGTCTTTACATTTTAAAAAAAGGTAAAGTAATTATTTATTTAATTTTCATATTTGTCTTTTATATAATTTAATAATTGAAATATTGTAAAATTAACAATGTTGATTCTTTTTTTTTATGAAATTATCTTTAATTTATTTTTTCAAGTTTATTTAAATAATATAAATAGTCTTTACATTTTAGAAAAAGGTAAAGTAATTATTTATTTAATTTTTATATTTGTCTTTTATATAATTTAATAATTGAAATATTCTAAAATTAACAATTTTGTGTTGTTCCTTTTTTTTTTATGAAATAATCTTTAATTTATTTTTTCAAATTTATTTAAATAATATAAATGGACTTTACATTTTTTGAAAATGTAAAGTAATTATTTATTTAATTTTTATATTTGTCTTTTATATAATTTAATAATTGAAATATTCTAAAATTAACAATTTTGTTTTGTTCCTTTTTTTTTATTAAATTAATCTTTAATTTTTTTTCAAATTTATTTAAATAATATAAATAGTCTTTACATTTTTCGAAAATGTATTTAATTTGAAATTTTTTGTTTGTAAATATATTTTCCAAATAATAATTATTTTATTTAATTATTTAATTTTTATAATTTCCTTTTTTATATAATTTAATAATTGAATACATAATATTGTTCGAAATTAATAATTTGTTTTGTTCATTTTATTGTTCTTTTATGAAAATCTTTAATTTTTTTGACAATACATTTAATTTGATTTGTTATTTTTTGTAAATATATTTTTCAAATGTAATATTTGTGATTGTATGGTAATTAGAGTTCGGTTCTCTTGATTTTGTGAGATTATGTTTCTTTTGTTATCTCATGTTCAATGCTATAACATTTGAATTTTTGTAGGATGGAGTATCATTTAGATGCAGAGTTGAGACGGATGTCGGGGAAAGCTACTTGGAACAGTAGCTTTGAGAGTTTTACTACTGTGTTGGAGTTGCTCGATGATCAGCACGGAGATACGCTACGACAGTCCTTCTTGTGGCCACTGCACCAGTTGCGAGAGGTGCAGTATTCAGGACAGATCATTGATGCACTTCTATGTCGGCTTCTGAGGTCAGTCGACGGCGATTCCCTCCAGTTCGACCTCGGGGGCAAGGTCGTCAGTTTCTCGATGTTTGAGTTTTCATTGATCACTGGACTGAGGATTACGGGCGACGATGCAGCCATGGAGAGAAGCAATAGGCTGTACGAGACGTACTTCCAGGGACATCGGTCGATGCCTCTACCCGACTTGATGGTCGCGATCAGGGGGTGCGACCATATGCTAGATAGATTGAAGCTTGGGCTGGTCTACATCCTCGAGAGTGTAATGATGTGTCATTACAAGAAGACTGTCATCGACAATTTTCATTTGCAAGTTGTTGACAACATCGATGTGTTCAACAACTATTCGTGAGGCCGAAGATGCTACGAAGGCACCGTACATGTGTTCACCAGATCGCACTCGAGGCTCAGGGGGTTGATGCGTAAATACGATACATATGGATTGCCCTTAGCGGTGCAGGTAAATATTTAATATAATCAAAGTTAAAGTTTTAGTGTATTACATTGATGCTTAATAAGTGTATGTGTTACAGATTTGGGTGTATGAGATAGCACCTGTACTGGGGGCCCGCTTTGCGCAGCGAGGGGAGACACGCTGTCCTCGGATGCATCATTGGAGATCATCGCGAGCGGAGGGATGTCCCACTGGGAAGCAGTTATCGGCCCTCCTTGACGATCCTCAGGTAAGTATTATACATTTGTGATTTATATTATACGTAATTTAAAATTTTGTTTACATCATCGTTAAGTAGTTGAAATGTCAATATGTCAGCTTGAAGTCATACCTGAGTTGACGCCGTCGATGAAAGAGGAGGCTCGGGGTCTTGTGCAGGATTTAGGCGTTTCGCACACCCCAGACGAGGAGATGTCTGATCCGAGCTTGGACCGAGATTGGGTATGTGAATGAAATATAATTTATTGAATATCGTCGACGTATAAATTTATTGAATAATTTATTGAATAATTTTTCATTTTATTTATGTAGGAGGGCGGTCCAGCTGATCGACAATCACCTTCGCCGAGGGCATCGCCACCACCATTGGCATCACCTCCGTCGAGAGTATCGTCCCCGCCATTGGCATCACCTCCGTCAAGGGCATCACCACCTCTAGTGGCATCACCTCCGCCGGGGCCATCGCCGCCGCCATTGGCATCACCTCCGTCCAGACGCCTCCCCCGTGTGTCTCCGGGGCACAGTGTTGATTTCTATGCCCGTTTGACTGGATTTATAGCGGAGGAGGTCGGCACGCTACGACGAGATTTGACGGAGAGGGTCGATGATCTGGGACGAGAGTTGACAGGGAGGGTCGACGATCTGGCAGGGAGGGTTGACTATCTGACAGGGAGGGTCGACGATATGGGACGAGAGTTGACAGGGAGGGTTGAAGATCTATCACATGATGTTGGAATACTACAGTCTTCCGTTGTCGACCTTCAGGATACAGTAGCGGCGCTTAGAGGAGATTTAGCCGACAGACGATGGGGGGACAGAGGGGATGGCGGAGATCATGATCGAGAGGGTGGCAGAGATGATGATGGAGAGGGGGGTCACCCACATTTTTGGCGTGATGAGACATTGGAGTCATTGTGATTTTCTATGGAGGGCGTGGCCTCGATGGGGATGGGAGAGGGGACTACGGAGGGGGTGGCCCCGACGGGAGGGGTGGAGGAGGTGGCGACGGAGGGGGAGGCCCCGATGGGGGGGCGGAGGAGGTGGCCCCGGAGGTCGAGAGGACGCCCGACGTGATTGAGGGTAAGAGACATGCTGTTGACGAGACGGAGCAGGTGGTCGGCAAGAGGTTGAGAGTGCCGTCATAGTATGTTGTTTCCCCCTTCACGGCTGAGGCCAAGAGGATGACGTTCATCGATGGGACATACCCGAACTTATTCAGAGAGGTGGACAATGCCAAGTGGAAAGCGTTCGAGATAGAGTGGAGGAGAATTATCCCCGGGTAAGTATTGTATGATTTTAATAAAGTACTGTACGCTAACTCGTCTACGCTTATTTTAACATTTCCCTATTTTTTACAGAGTTAGCCGCACAATAGGTCAAAGGACGGTCTCGGACCCTTACAAGTGGTTCCACAATATCACCACTGCGGGAGCTTGGCTCGCTGACGATGTAAGTGAACTATTCATTTCGTGTTTTTAAGTGACATTGTGTTTATTAAATGAATAACTCATACTTTTTTGGTGTTTCCTGCTGCAGCACATCGACCTGGCCATGGACTTGCTGCGAGATCAAGCTCAAAGACATCCAAAATCATTTGATATCCATGGTCGAGTCATATTAAACACCGAGTTCCTGGGTGCCGTTACCATAGAGTATCAGTCGCTCGAACTTATGGGTAACGAGTACACAGTGCCAGAATATATGCTCGAGTGGGTGATAGGACTGTCACCAAGTGTCGGGGGAAAATCATGGGAGGGTTGTACACATATGTACATTCCAGCGTGCATCAATAAACACTATGTTACACTGGAGATCCTTTTTGCTGACTCGACTATATATGTGTACGACCCAGATCATTCATGTTTGACACAAGGCCAGTTGGAGCAAAACTTGGAGTCCGTGACTGTAATTGTTCCTATGATGGCCAGACGAGCAGGGATAAACGTCAGGACAGATTGCGGATCGTTCGGAACGCGACAACAGCGCGACAGTCCGTAAGGTAAGTGTTTGAACTTTGGTGTTTTCTTCTTTCAGATTTAATTTTTATTTACACAGTACTGAACTGATTCATTCTTGTTCAATTGTAGCGGTGGCTGTGGCATATTTGTCATTAAGTACGTTGAATTTTTAAGTATAGAACATAAGGTTGATGGAATCAACCAGTCGTGGATACAGAACTGGAAAAAGAAGCTAGCATGTGATTTGTTCGAATTTAATGCTGGCCCGTAAATTTCATTTATATATACGTAACATTTCAATTGTAAATTTAATTATTTTTGTAATTATGAAATAATTGTTAATTTGTGTTCAATGTATGTAACATTCAAATTGTAAATTTTATTATTTTTGTAATTATGAAATAATTGTAAATTTGTGTTCAATGTATATAACATTCAAATTGGAAATTTAATTATTTTTTGTTATTTTACCCGTATGCTGAGTATGGAACTATTTTTTTCATATGAATCATTATAAATACCATTTATCAAGAATAAATATTGAATATGAAAGATTTATAAATAACAAATATTGAACAGTGTAAAGTAAAAGGAAATATTATTCATTTCACGTACCTGTCTAGTCGTCATTTAGGGAAATTTGACTGGTACAAAATTGCCGAGTATGCCCTACGGCTCTGCACCGGCCACACCTACGCGGTCGAGGAAACTCTCCGGTAGATGGTATTTTAGATGTACTTGGACGTCCAGGACCACGCGGTTCAACTGCTGGTGGTAAGAAATTATGAAATGGGAGAATGTGTTCGGGAACTTCTCACTCGGTTTCATTCGGTAGAGGAAATATAGTCTCGGCATATGCTGTTCTCCAAGACTCAGTCGTATAATACAAAGAGCATAACATTCTCGCAACAAAGCCTCGATACATGGCTACCGCAACTGCATGCTCACATGGAAAACTCTCCAACTGAAATCTCGTACAAGTGCATGTGTTATCAGTCAAGTCCACCATATATGCCGTATTACGTGCACATTGCACGGAGAAGCGAAACTCATCTAGTGCTTCCACATTCAACTTCCTCGCAACATCTGCCGCCTTAAACAGTTTCTCCTCTTGAGCTGGGGCCAACACGATAGTGCAACTCTGTGATACCGCACGTCGGTCATGAAATCACTGTTGTAGCTTGTACGAATGTTCTCAATCATTGCGAGAATTAGTAACTCTCGATCCTTCTTAAGCAATGCATTGAGAGACTCCGCATTATTCGACGTCATCATGTTATATCGACATCCTGGAAAGTATGATCGCGCCCAATGTTTGATCTCCATCTTCGTCAGATACTCCAACGCCGGTAATGATTTACTTCATATCTCGAGCATGAACTTATTACACTCTTCAGCACTGTAAGCTTCGGCTGCTCTCCTAAACAATGAAACGATGCCTGTGCCCCGATACCTAGTCTTCAAATTACCTTGTATATGGTACATGCAATACCCGTGATGTGCCTCGGGAAAAACTTCAGCGATACCGTTTATTATAGACTGTCCTCGATCGGTTACAAAGGCAAGGTCTTCGACTTCCCCGATCACTTCCCTCAGTTTAGAAAAGAACCAAATGCAATAGGGTAAATTTGGATGTTGGCATCTTGACATGTAGCAATAATTAATTTGCCTTGATATTTAGCTTTCAGAGTTGTACCATCAACTAGAATTACGGATTGCATCGCATTTCGAAAACCCCGAATACATTGTCCGAGAGCCATGAAGAAATACTTAAAACAATTATCGCCCCATGTCTCAATAAAAAATGCCATGCCAGAATTAGTTGTCCCCATGTTATGGCAATACCTAGCCAATTTAGCATAGCTCTCTTCAACCGATCCCATTAAATCCTCCAACGCACATTCTTTGGCCTTCCACGCTTTCTGATAGCTCATGACCACTCCGTACTCTCGACGGACGTCGTTAATGATGTCCGAATGTCTGTAGATCGTCCGTGGATCCTGATACTTGTGCATTATCTGTCGACCAATAAACCATGCTCGAGCTTGCCTGTGATCGTTTCGAAGAATTCTCACTTCGTAAGTATGTTCCCGTGAATACTTGCGAATTACGAAGCACTCATTCGTGTCCGTCTTAGTTGCTCTCAAGCGCCAATTGCAACTGTCTTCGACGCAAGCAACTGTCAACAATGACTTGTTTGATTTCTTTACCTTGAACTCAAAATTATATTTTAATGCCAGCAGGTGCACAGCTTCCTGCAAATCTTTCTTGGTTTCAAACAGTTGTTCGACTTGCAAGTCCTCATCATCGGGAGCCACACGGGAAGAATTGGAGGACGGTCCACTTGTTCCAACCTGTGAGCTCCCACCAGGCTCGTGTCTCTGTCGGGATAAAGCAATCAAATTCTCATTTGTAAACTCGTTTATATTCTCATTGTCTTCAACTGTCGACGGAATTCTGCGCGTAACAGCAACATCACGATCAGAAGCAACTGTCTCAGGAATATCCACATTATCCGCAGGAACTATCTCCACTGTCTCCCAAAAACCTCGATCATTATTATCCGCCCTATCTGAATCTTCGCGTTCACCTTCGATAACATCCTTCGTAATTAAAGTCACACCAAGAACAGTCGGAGTCCGATGCATTTTATTCAATTCTAATAGATAATTCAATTCAGCAGCATTAGTAACGAATACCGGTGGCATCGGAATGGATGAATCCCCATAACCGTTGAATAGATATCTCAATTGCATATCGTATTGAGATTGATTCAGCTTATTTTGCAAATCGTGGTACATTTCTAAGTATGGTGTACTCTCTGTTACGAGAATTGCAATACAACCACGTATGTCACTCGTCCATCTCCATTCCCACCGATTATTTTCATTCAATTCGAAATCACCGAAATAACACACGGGGATTATCATATTTGCATGAGAAAATGGTTTGAATCAACTTCATTTATTAATTATAAGAAAAGGCCAACAAAAATCAGCTGCAGTCGGTTAATTGGCTGTTTAACAGTCGGCTGTTAAACAGCCGGCTGTTAGCTGGCTGTTCGGCTGTTTAACAGCCAAGCAGTCGGACTGTTTTCGACTGTTTGGCTGTTTGTTAAGCCAAAACACCCAATTTGGCACAGGAAAATACCGTTCTAAAGTTATATATCTGTTTAATTTTTTTTTGACAGGTAAGATCTATTAAAAAAATCTATATCGACATTAAATTTCTCTATTTAAACGTATACTAATTTATTGAAAACGAAATTAAACATGCGTGAATGTACTTACCGATTTGAAGTAATTGATGTGAAAAAATTTCTAGCTTCAACGTTCCAAAGTTGTTCTAGATTTTGAGGTTCAAGCAGATGAAAAGATGAGAATTTTTCCTGTGTTGGAAGCTCGTTTTGAAGTTTTTATAAGTGGTGAAATGTTTTATTTTCAATTATTAACTAAAAGGGTAGTATAGTCCTTTCAACAATATATTGTTTTGTAATTGTACAAAACATTTAAAGGCATCTTTGTCTTTTACCATACAAGAGGCCAATGTCATAATATTCATGATTTTGGAAGTCAAAGTGAAATTTAGCTCCTTTGATTGGGTCAAACTTAAAAGTACCCCACCCTTGATAGTATTCCCCGTTGGCTTGATCTGCTCAAGAGTACGTTTCTTCTCCCTCAAAACTTTTTCTATTTTTATCGGTTTTCGAGTCCAATACTCAGGGCAGGTTGTGTGAGTTTGCTCATCAGTTTGAAATATACTTTTTTTTTTTTTAAAGGGAGTAGGGTAAATGGTTGAATTTTCATAGCAATCTTGATGTGATGATTTATTGGTCGGGCTTTGATGGATTGATTCTCTTTGTAATGAAATGGTAGGCTTTTAGCTATTGGAGAAGTATGAACAAATTAGTTTGTTTTGTTTTAAAGTTGAAAGAATTACAACAGAGGGGCAAGGTACAACCTCCATGATCCATGCTGTCTGATGCTGTCTGACTCTTATAATTTTGATTTTGTGTAAAGTTCCCTCAATGGTTATACCTTGACTAAAATTGGTATCATATGTCAGGAGTCCAGGCATTTTCTACGTTCTCATTTCGTCTATATAAATATTTGCATACCGATAAGTTTAGAAAGATTAGGGTGGTAAACTCACAGGAAATGGTTAAGATGGAATTTGAGTAATATCTGATTTCAATATGATAAATGTGGGTTATTATGATGATCAGGGGTTCGGTAAATGTCAGTGCTTTTTGGTGTTTTAGTATTTAGGAAAAAGTAGGAAATGCAGTATGTCTAATGATTTAGCTGTTGACAATCAAGAGTTTACAATTAGGGGTGGTATTAGCGTTTGTAAATTTGAGAACTGTTTGAATTCTATTTTAGGTTTGCTATTACCTTCTTTTAATTGTCCGTGGTTTACATAACTAAGAATGAATAATATAATTTGAAAGCTATAAAATTGGAAATCATTCACCCCAGTGGAGAAAAGTTGTGATTAAATTATATTGCTAAATCATTCGTGATTGAAGAGAATGTGTGATGTGCAAGCAGTTGTCCGGCCTTGGGTAAAGCTCATGTTCTACATCCTAAACAGTGTGTAATGCAGGAAAAAGAGTGCTACAAAATTCCAAGCCCAAGAAACGTGATATTGCTTAACATTCTGGTTTTTAGAAATTTTTGCAACAAATAATTTTTCCTCTACATGCAAGCCTTATGGTCGAGATTCTTAATTTTGCAGGATCTTTAACGAATTGGTTTGTCAATTTCTATGTACAACTACTTTAATTATAACAAAAAAATATAGGGAAAATTACAGAGTTAGTCCCCAACCTATAGACATTGTTCAACTCGGTCTCCTACCAATTTTTCTTGACCACATTGTTATCAGTTTTCTGGTATTGCTAGTCCCTAATTCCCTTTTCCATTATTTTGACTGTTAACCATTCACATGTACCTCGCATGTTCAGTTTTGAGAAGTAAATTGGTCAATACACTGTTTGGATAAAAGAAAAGATGGGGAAAAGGAAAATGAAAAAGTAAAGGAGAAATGAAAATGATAAAAGAAAAATAAAGGTAAAAATGATAAAAATCTTAACACTTCCACCCCAATCTGCTGCCACCTGCTAGTTCCCTTACCATGCGATTTAGTTGTTGAAGTTAAAAAACCTATATATCAGCAAGTTTCTTAGGAGTTGGAGTCAGCAATACTTAAACAGATTTTACAGTTGTCATGAATCTCTAAGCTAAAAGGCATAACTGCATTTGACAGTGGCATGCCTTCCACTATATTTGTGTTATTGGGGAACTTTTCAAAGCCATATGAACCAATTCATTGTTTCCTGCTATTGTGGAGCTATATAGGAGTCTGCATTTTTTAGACATGTAAGGGGATCAGCCACAAAATATGTGATGTCTTGATGATTAGTTTTTATCCAGATAATGGTTAACAAGCCTTTAAATGGATCCAGTTTCCCAAATGTAAAAGTCAAAACTTGGAAGGATGTATTCCATTTCTAATAATTTTGGTAATAGTGTCCTTCAACCCCTTAGATGTATTATCCTTGATAAATTTAGACTCCTCTCAAGACACAAGAATGTTTAATCAATTAAATTGTAAGGTGTTGGGAAAGGATTTATTCCCTTTTCATCATACATAAGCCATGGGACATCAACTAAAACGATTGAAGCATTTTTCTAAGGTCGGCTACATGAAACATTTTTTGACACTATATTTGATTCATTGTTAAATCTACTTGAAAATCTAGAGCACATCCTTATTAACTACAACTTGCCTGTAAGGTTTGGTCTAACCCTTTCTTATGAATCGGATCTCTTTAAGTCTACACAAAACATGCTCTAACCACCTAAGTTGGCACCACCTCTACCATGCAATAATTTCTTAATCCACAATACTTCATTCTTTTTTTTTTATCATGCTATTGTTTGGTATTATATGCTTCTTGAGAAGTATGTCATTATGGTATTTTTCAGTTTTACATTCTTTTATACTCATCTCAAATTAGTTTATATTATTGCCTCGTGAAGTTCAATTAAAGAGCCCCTCATCATGCAGCTCTCACTAATACAACTGCTGCGAGGATGCTTGTTGGAAATAAATGTGATTTGGAGAGCATGAGAGATGTAAGCTTGGAGGAAGGCAAAAGTCTTGCAGAATCAGAAGGCTTGTTTTTGATGGAGACGTCTACATTGGATTCAACAAATGTTAAAAAGGCTTTTGAAATTGTTATGAGATTCATAACAATGTCAGCAGGAAGGCCTTGAATTCGGATTCCTACAAACCTGAATTATCAGTCAACAGAGTTTCCCTTGTCAATGACAGCTCAGATGGATCAAAGCAGACTCAACGATCCTATTCTTGTTGTTCCAGGTGATTCAAATCCTATATTATCCACAAACGTCTACAAATGAAGTCCTGCCTTATTGGTAATTTTAATTATTTGATTTTTTGGTGTATTTCTTTCTTAAATAATGATTCCTTAATGACGGGGAAGATGGGATATCATAGTTCAATAATAAAGATTAATTGTTGTCATCAGTACCGGGAGAATATTATTAAACTCATTGTTCTGGAAATGTAAATCACATAATGGAAGGCTGTTTAATTTTCTGATTGTAGATTGCTGTTACTGATTTCTTTACATATGCATTATCCTGTTTCGTTTTTTCCTTTTGGTCAGGCATAAGCCTTTATTAGTTTTAAGGCTTAATCGGCATGACAAGAAGACCCGAATTTTTAGATCCATCAGCTGAACTCTCCTAAATGTATGTCCCTGAGGGCAAAAACTGAAGAAGTGGCTAAGAATAAGCATGTGTTATTGAAGAATAATAAATCGTTTGGGACTGCTTGACTGTGGAAGAGTTGAGCAGTGGGATACAAAAAGTTGGGGGTTCATTTCTTCATTTATCAAGGATTAGGCACTGAAAATGATCATTTTCTTTTGATTGGATGATAATCTAGCTTAAACATATTAAACTATGGGAATATTAATTTAATACAGCTTAGTTCAAGAAAGTGATGAGAAAATGAACACATCTTGAGCACTTGGATCCAAACAGGATTTGATATTGTAAGCCCAACTTAGACTGTAATGACTAAAATGCCTTTAATCATAGAAACTATTCTTTACCATATTTTCCATCACCTTCCTCTTTCATTTTGCTTCTCTTTGTATGAACTACTCTCTCTATTCACAGTTCCTTCCTTTCTTTTTCTCGACTTTGAGCTCACTATTTCCCGATCATCTTGCTTAATTCTGTCTGGTTTTTTCCGGAAGGAAAAGAGGGATCTTGAATTAGTGAGTGAATGAGGTTATTATTTATTTATTTTTTATAAATATTAAGTGCTATCTTTCTCAGTTCGAAAGAATTTTTGCGAAATATGCATTGTATTGTGTGACTCCTCGTGTAATTTTTAACATAATGCCAAGTAATATTCAAAATTCATGCAGCAGTAAATAAACTAGAGCGATACTTTATGCTATTCAAATTTGTTAGGGGTACATAATTTGGTGTACTGTTAGCTTTATTCTATACTATTTAATTCGTCAATTGCAGAAGAATTACTGCACCATGCGCCTTTAAATTTTTGATCATTATATGCCAATAATATTCCACCATTTACCACTGCCACAAAGTTCATTCTTTCGGTCATTAACTAAGAAGTAAAATCCTTTATTCTTCCTCTTTATGTGTTTCCACTAGGGTGAGTATAGGCACTAACTTGTTCTAAAAAGTCGAGGTATTTCAAATTGCTTGTTGAAATTATTTCATTATTGAATTGAAGACATATAAGAATTCTGAATCAAAGAAGAAGCAGTCAAGGTCAGTGGCGGATGTAGATATTTAAAGTTAGTGGGGACACGATTCAAACTTATTAAAAAATTATGTGTACTACATGAACACATGCAGCTGATCATTATCATAGATTCATAAATCTCATATATATGATAAATAACAATTCTCAAAAAAATTCAATTAATCTCACATATACGATGAATAATGAGTTCCAAAGAATTTTCAAATTAAATATTGCAAATGAAAAAATAATCTCAATTCTCACTATCTCAATTGTTCGGTTATTGCTATAACTCTATTCTAATAAAAAAGTCAAATTACCATTACTGCCCAAATTTGATTTTTGGCTCTAAAACCCACTATATATATATATCTTGATATTTGGTGGGTCACTTGACCCACCAGACCAAGAGTAGGTTCGCCAGTGATCAAGGTTTGAGGTCGAGTCACAATATGAAGTGATCTAAAGAACACGTGCGAAAATTGCCCATCAGTCGTCGCTTTGAGGTCATCATCTTGGCCTAATCATTATTATTTATAAGTAACATTACTTGTTTTTCTCATATAAGTAGCACTGCATTTTGAAGAATGTCTAGTTGAACTTATCTCATTTATCACCAAATCAATACCTACCAGATTATTCAACCCTATTCTTTTCTATATTCTACAAAGTGGCTCTCGCAATTACATTCTAGGTGGAGGGTCACCTGCATATGATTCACAATTCAACTCAGAAGAAAAGTTTACCTCCCACATCCCACCACCACAAATGCTTACAAACATTGTTCTAAATAGTGTAAAATATGGCCAGTCTAAAAAAAGTAAAACGTGCTAAGTGTGATAAGACAAAGCAAAGTTTCGTGCCTACACTTCTTAGAACAATGCTTACAAGTATCTATAGTATTAAATCGATTTCTTCAAACAATTGGATTTGTGGACCCTAATATCTCTATCAATTTTTTTTGAAATTTTGGTAAGTGTTTTTTTTTTTATTTCTAGAAGCTTTTCTACTTCCATGACTAAGATATCTTCCTAACCTTTTTCCATAATTGCTTAGTTTTGATAAAGCCTGATAGTGATAGATAAAGATAGTGACTTGTTTTTTCTGCTAAGACTTTGTTGTTGGAAGGTTGGAATTTTTCTTTGATGCCGTTGGTGCTTCAGCACGCTCATTGAGATCTCCAAAATCTTGCCATCTCAAACCCATTCTTGCAATAAAAATAGTCTTCAACAGTCTTATCAATTTCGACTTGAGTGTTCATCACAAATGGACCGTGCTGAACTACCGGTTCGTTGAGTGGCTGCCCACCTACCAAAATAAATCTCAATAGCTTTGAAGAAGACATGTTCCATACACTTAGGCCATCTCCCGGACCCAAAATCAGTAGATGGTGAGCTGTCGTGGCTGGTGAGTTGTGGCAGCCGAACACCCCTTCACCTTCAATTATGTACACGAAAGCATTCCATGATTCTGGGATATTTTGATGGAACTGAGTGTGGGGTTTTAGACTGGAATCAAGGTACAGAGTAGGTGTTCGAGTATAAACCGGAGAATGAATCCCCATAGCTTCCCCTGCAATGACTTTAACCTCGACCCCATCTTTCTCTGCCCTGGGAATGTCCTCATCCGGCAGTTCTTGATACCTTGGTTCAATCCTGCAGGATAAGGAAGTAGTTTGATTGGTTTTGCTTTGCATCATTCAAACAGAAAAGAATCAAAATCCAAGTAGGGTAGCTTACATTTTGTTCTCGGAAGAGAGATTTATCCACAATTGCAAACCTCTTTGAGTACCTTCTCCAGCCGGCATTTCCGAGTGAATAATACCCTTCCCTGCAGTCATCCACTGCACGACCCCGAGCAAGAAAACTCTTTAAAGTGTGTTCATGGTCACGTAAACGGATAGAATTTGTTACGTAAAAGTTCCTATATACCTGGACATCACCAGTGCGGATTGTACCTTCGTGACCAGCAAAATCTTGATGAGTTAAGGCTCCCTAAAATATTATGCAGGATAATTCAAACTTCCCAACGATACAAAACCAAAATTGAAATTAATCGTTTAAAAGCAAGTTACCTGCAACATGTATGTAACAGTCTCAAAACCTGTTAAGACAAGATTCATCAATCTAGAACACAAACTAAGTAAAAATATGCTGCAAATTAGGGTACTCGGAAGAACCTCGATGGGGATGGTCAGGAAATCCGGCCGGAGGTGATACTGTAAGACAAAACCGAGTATCAGATTATTATGGTTTCCCTTGTCTAATCCAACATACCTGAGATGCTATAAGTGGATAATCATACCTGTAAACTCGTCCAACATGAGGAAAGGATCGAAGTACTTCACTTCGGGCCTGAGAAACATACACGCGAAACATACCAAACATGCTATAAGTGCTTGGACGATTGAATCTAAACCAACACGAAATACCCAGACCACAAATTTTCAGTAAGATTTGATAATACCTTCCAATGCTTCTTCTAACTACAGCACCAACACCTTCACTTTGAGGTTTTGCCAAGATTTTCTTGGTAACCAATCTTGGCTGCTCAAAAAATGAATCTTGATTTGATGCAGACATCGTATAACAATGAATCACGTTCGTCTTTTTCAGGTTTGGATTCAAATTCAACAAGAATTGAGTAGCTGCTGCAGCTCTCATATATAAATTTCTCCTTCAATCTTCACTGTTTGTATATATGCATGTCTATATGAATATACATATGTGCATAATGTGTGTGTATATATAAGGACACTTTTGAGTGAGTTGGGCTGTGACACAAATGGGGACGTTATTGGAATTTGGAGGTGTGGGGGAGAAATTGAAAATGGAACCAATTGTTCATTGTTGGACCAATCATATGATGATATCAGCCTCCTCTCATCATGATGGAGTCCTTAGTCTTCAATTCACAAATCTTTTTCCATATAAATCATGTCCTCCGTCAAAACAAAGATAATACATGTGAAAAGGTTTTTATTTTGACAAAAACTATTTAATGAAGTACAAAATATCAAGTATATCATTGTCAAGAGAAGTCTATTGGCCAAGTGAACTCTTTGGGTCGATGTTGTCAAAATTGGATTGGATTGGATCAGAACGAAGCAAAAAAAAAATAATAATAATAAATAATCGAGAACCCGTTTAAAAACTATTAGGCAAAAGAATCGAAAAAGGGGCGAATGATTGAAAAAAGGTTGTTTCACTACCAACGTACTTCATTATTCTTCCTTTTGTTTTTTCTTCTGTGTACAAGACAAATTACATAATAATAATAAAAAATAAGTTAATTGTACCGTTAATTTTTTCTAATATTACGTATTCTAACGTTTAGATTAAAGAACACTAAAATAGAATACCCTTTTGGAGAATTGTTATATAAACATCCAAGTTAATTAAAAAAATATTTAAAATCAATTAAGAGCAAAAGACTCTCTAAATAATAAATATAAAATATTTTTTATTTTAAAGAGTTAATGCTTAAAAATAGGTCAACAGACTCTCTAATTTAACTTTTTAAAATCAATTATTCTATTTATACATCACTTTTTTCACATCAATTTTCACACTCATCTCACAAATGTGGGGTCCACAATTATTTTAATTGTGGACCCCATCCACTTGCATGTGTGTGTGCTGTGAAAATTGATGTGAAAAAAGTGTACAAGTAGAATAGTCCTTTTAAAATAGAATGAGTTCGACCCTACAAATTTAGATGGTCAAACTCTCTATTTTTAGAAATTCTTTAAGAGACTCTCTATTTTTAAAGAGTATATTCTATTATTTAGAGAGAATCTATAAATTTAAAAGGTTAAAATTTTAAAGTACTCCAACAAACTCTTTATATTTAACATTTAATTTTACTACTCCCAAAAAAATATTTATTATTTTTCTTTTTATCTTTTATTTTAACTAGTTTTTCTCTTGATCATTTTATTATTTTTCTATATTGAAAATTAAAACACTTTGAATGCATTTAATTATAGAACGCGATGGTGCGTTTGGTCTGCGTTTCTATTTTTTATTTTCAATTTTGAATTCATTTTTTGTTTTCTATTTTGGGTAATTATTTTAAAATTGCAAAAACGCGTTTGATATGTTATTCTGGAAAACTGTATTTCAAAACAAAAAAAAACTAGAAAACATGTTTGGTTTAAAAAGTTTAGAAATAGTTTTATGATATTTTGGAGGTTGGGAAGAGAGGGGGGGGGGGGCGAGGGGAGAGGAAATTTGCATTTGGGTAAATTTTGCGTGATTTTATTAATTATATTAATTTGAAAAATTTTTAAATTCACTTTCCTTGTTTTGAGTTTTTTGTTTTCTCAAAATGTCAAAAAGTCATTTTCAGTTTTTAAAAATTGAAAATGGCCTCAAAACGGCAAATCAAACGCACTCTGAGTTTGATTGAATTTGGAGAGCCAAATCCACTCTCTAAATTAAAATATTAATTTAAAAAATTTCTTGAAGCATGATTTTAAAGGTTAACTCCTTGAAATAGAGAACTACTCATATTTAAAGAGTATTTTGAAGAGGTTCTTAAAGTATAATGATTGCATTTAATAAGTCATAAATTTAAATATTCTACTTCTTAAACTATTCAAAATATGTTTAAATTGATTGGTCATTGACAAATTATGTTAAATTAAAATATGAGTATAAATTGATAAATGTTTCTTGAGAAAAATAAAATAAAGAATCAACATAGATAGCATTGTTTGAGTGCATAAAGATTTTGACTCTTTAAATTTAAAGATACCCATTATAACGTATGGGATGTTCTTTATAAATATAGAGTCATTTGAAGATACTTTAAAGAATACTAAGATATAATTATCCTCTAATGCGTGTTATTTCTTTATTTTTATATCAGATATGTTTGACACTCAATATTAAATAAAATATAAAATATAATAAATAAAATTTTAGTATTTTTCTTTATTTATATTGTTCAATATCATATTTTGTTCCGACAAATGCAAATATAGGCCCTTGTTTGAATCTCATTATTGAAAAATAAAAAAAAAAATTTGAATAGTATATTGATGGAAAATATGTGGTTAAAAATAAAGAAAAATTTTGAATTTGTATATAATATTATTTTAATAAAGAATGTGTGACGGTTGAAAAATGTATTTTGATGAGAATAATACGTCTCAAACAAGGACTAGATATTGTCAATGGATTCTAATCCCCTTTCCCACGAGATCATGACTTTTAGCATGTTACTATCATATCCCAAGAGTAGATGGGGTTTACATATTAACCTTAATCTAAATGACACCATTAACACATAAGCATTACGTTTCCTTCTTTGCTAACTATGTCAAACAGATTATTCTAGAATTTTAAATTGCATGCTGCCATTATTATTACTTATTTGATTTTTCTTTCGGCTATATATCGTGTTGTGACTATAAATAAATTTAAGCTCTGTGTTCGTGTTGAATAAAGGGTCGTCAAGTATTAGATATTCAGAATGATAATTATAGGAAAAAAGGTTTTTATTTTTTTAACGATAGTTATTATGGCGGTTATAGAAGAATTTTAGAATAATAAAAAGACAATAACATGATATATGCAATGTTCAAAAATATTGCTAACGTGTTTAATATGAGAGTCAAATATTCAATCGCATTTTTGCATCATTGTTTGTTTTGCTTATACAACGGGCAAATTAAATGAGTCTCTATTCTTATCTTAAAGAAAATTTGCAAAGAAATTATAATCAAGAAAAATTTATGTTAATTTGAGAATATAAATGCGACGAAAATTTTTTTTAAGATATAAATGTGATAATGAATAAAGATTCATTATGAGACATAGATGCCCATTATCATGTTATCACTAATGTGCAGGTTCAACTTTGTTACATAAATGCATCATTTCCTTTACTTCGTAATTATTCAATTTCACTTTAATTTTCTAAGTGTTCATTGTAATCAAGTTCCTTAGCACAAGAGTTATCATGACCAAAAACCAATATCATTCATAATTTTTATCTAGTAATCCTTCTTCCCCTTTCTTTTACAATGAAAAGGCAAAAAAATCTAGTTGTCATGAGCATTGACAATATCAATTATCTGCTTTAGGAAAGAGGGGAAAAAAAAATTAAAACGAATCCTTTCCTCAAAGTCAACTAATTACTCAATTGTTAATTAGTGAAGCTTTAAAGCCCTATTTATAGGATATTTAAAGAAGTGCATGTTTGGAACCCTATAAGAGGGTCTTGGCTTCGATCTCACTTATATATATATATAAAATTGTTGGCTGAACATTGATTTCGTAGATAAGTTGGATTTTTTGGAATGAAAAATTCTTTATGTATTATGATTCTATATATATATATAGATGATTGTTGACTCAACATTGATTTCGTAGATAAGTTAGATTTTTTGGAATGGAAAATTATATAAATATTGTTGACCTCACGAATTGGACCTCCACGTGGCCAACTGAGAGTCACTCCACGTGTTCTTCCCCGTAACGCATGGTCAGGAGCAAACAGTCAGAACCAACGAGGGTGGCGGCGGCCGCACATACTCCGATGGTCAAATCAATGGTCGATGATCGGAACGGTGTCGGAATTGTGCAAGAGAGTGAGGAGGAGAATACATAATGCTTGAATGTGGAGAGCTTCGTATAAGTTTCATTACTTCTATCTCTTGCCAAATCTTGAGTATTTATAGACGAGGAGCACCGTTGGATGTAGGACACATGTATGTATCTGACAGCGTGAGACATCTACTCGTAGGTGTCAATCAACCGCGTCTAGAGTGGGTGGGTTATTAATTCTCCTGATTTTGAGTTGACATAAAGTTAATGTCACACCAACTAGACCCATGGAGATGTCACATCCCTAGGGGATCCTGACGTAGATATGCTTCTGAAACTGGAGGCGGAGGTATCTATTAAGGGATAACCTCGGTTAGCCAAACGCCTCAATTGAAGGGAGACACTTCGGTTGTTCAGCAGATCTAGTTTGTGAAGTGTGTGCCTTGCGATGCGCATGAAGTTGGAGTTAGGCCAACTTGGACACGCTTCGACATCACTTCGGAGACTCTTCGTTGGGACACGTGACACTTCATATAGGAGAGGGATAGTATTAACTAAGTGGTTGGGTACGGCGTGTAACAGTGGTCCCCCAAGTTCAAACATGAATATTCATATCATGGGTGGACTTGTTTATTCGTCTATGTTGATTTTAAGAGGAGATTTGCAGTATCTGGTGAAGTGTCATCGTTGAAGCTCGAAGCGAGTAGATGTGTTGAAGGCGTTGTTTCTAGAGTGTATTGTTAAAACCGAAGCGACGCTGGTCCCTCGTCTTGGTTGGTAGTTCGATAAATTTCAAAGGGCAGTTAATTTCCACCCAAGGCGTATAAGCCATGACGCTGAAGGCTTAAGGAGCTCATCTGCGCCCCGGTGCGTTGACCCACAGGGGACTACTTGTTGGGGGATGGCTTAAGCTTTGTAAAAGCTTGGAAATGCATCGTCTGAGGTGAAGAATCTCAGGTGCTTTGAAGTTCTGAAAAGCTGAGGAAGAAGCGTATCCGCAATGGGTGCGTTGACCCACTGGGGACGACGCTTTGGGAGATAGCTTAAACTTTGTAAAGTTTGGAAACGCAGCGTCCAAGACGAAGAACTCGGGTGTGTTGAAGCTCTGAAAAGTTGAGAAAGAAGCGTATCTGCAACCGGTGCATTGATTCACAGGGGACGACGAGTTGAGAAATGACTTAAGCTTTGTAAAGCTTGGAAACGCAACGTCCGAGGCGAAGAACCTCAGGTGTGTTGAAGCTCTG